AACACACATACACAAAGACATACTGAACCACACAGACACTGATGGACTCTCACACATACAGACATACAGATACACTGACAGACATACTGGCACATATACACACAGACAGACGGACATACTGAAACACACATACACACAGACATTGACAGACATATTGACAAACACAGACATACAGAACCACACTGACAGATTCACACATAGACATACTGACAGACATACACACATTCTGGCACACACACACAGACAGACTGAAACACACAGACACAGACACTGACAGATATACACACATACAGACATTTTGAAACTCACAGACAGCCATACTGAAACACACAGACACTGAGACTCACAGACACAGGCATACTGACACACTGACAGACATACTGGCACACAGACAGACATTCTGGCACACAGACAGACATTCTGGCACACAGACAGACATTCTGGCACACAGACAGACATTCTGGCACACAGACAGACAGACAGACATGCTGAAACACACATACACACAGACACTGACAGACAAACACACATCCAGACATTTTGACATACACAGACAGCCATACTGAAACACACATACACACTGAACCACAGACACTGACAGACTCACACACAGACATACTGACACACTGACAGACATACTGAACCACACACAGACATACTGAACCACACAGACACTGACAGACTCTCACACACACAGACATACAGATACACTGACAGACTTTGATAACCACCCTCCAGTTTCTTACCTTTTCCTGGAGGGTGGCTTCCCTGGGGTCCAGTGGGCTGGCTGGGGTGGCTGGGAGTTAAGCTCCCGGCCTGGCCCCCTCCGGAACAGCTGGTCCGCCTTCCTCCCGCGCGGCTCCTGTTTCTGTGGGAGGAAGTGACGCGCGAAAAGCAATGGCCCGGTCGCACTGTTAAAGCGCCACAGCGACCGACCGGGCCCCTGCTGACACAGGCCCACCGGGTGGCCCTAAGTGCATGGGCCACCCGGTGGGCCCCCATAGTTTGCGGGCAGTGGGCAAACAGGGTAGTTACCTCGGGCCCCCCAGCAGGGACAGGGCCCGGGGCAGCTGCCCCGTTTGCCCCGCGTTAAAGACGGCCCTGACCTTTCTGATTTTTAGGCTTCTTTGTGAGAAACATGTATATGAATTGGTGAACACAGTGTGACATCCATTCCTGGTCAACTTGTTTGCATGTTTCCAAACCAACAATCACATCTATTTTGTAATGGCTTATACTGCAGGTGTGAGCCTTGTGACCAGCATTAATAACAGCATGGTTGTATTTCCAGAGCCTAGTGCTGTGTAGTATGGGTAGTAATGTGTTACTGGGACTGTAACCAAATATCGAGACCTGCACACCAAGACTGAGAGGATTTAGATAGACAACAAATTCCATTAAGCCCAGTCAGATTATGATAAAAGATGGTTTCTTATAAAAGGAATAGCAGCCAATTTGGATACTCTGTGCTTTTGGACGGAGATTAAATATAAATAGCCTTTAACATACACATTCTGTGTTTGGAAAGTTTTATACATGTTCCATTGAATAGAGCTAATAACTGGAAACATGCCCAGTTTTAATATATTTAAGAATCCAGCAACAATTTAAATAAATTGGTGCTGCCATCGCTCTCAACAATCTATGAACCATTAGTTCCCTTATGTACGGAAAGGATTTGTATATTTTGTTTCAAGCCTCACATTGTAATAACTCCCAATAGAAGTTAAAGAGTTGAACTTATTAGGTAGAGTTTATTAATAAAACAGGTGGTTCACTTATTTTTCCTTCTTTCCTCCAGTGTGATAGACGGTAGTGTTGGGATAGTGTAAGAATCCTCAGAAAGATACAAGGCAGCAATCCTACTAAAGACACAGTTGGAAATGACAGATAGGTGTATTACCGGACCTTTGAGTGGCCGGGCTTAACGCTAAGGAGGAAATAGGAACTATAAGGTCTAGTCTCAACAATATACTCAGAGCAAGAGAATACAGAAAATAACAAACAATATCAGTTGAAGACAGAACAGGGTCTGGAAACAGGAACACTGTAACAGCTCCAAGTCAGGGACAAAGCAGTGTCTGGTACACTAACAGGAATACTCATTGTCAGATACGTAGCCGTGACAAAACACTAGGATCAGGATTATACAAAGCAGTGTCAATAACCATAGCCAGGTAAAAATATGCCATGTTATAGGAATTATAAATGTGCTTAAGGGCTATTAAAACCATGAAAAAGCACTAGACCATAGATATGCTGGAGTATATATAGGTCCAGACCCTTGCATCAAGGACACAAGTACAGAGCTACGGGCAGGACAACAACTAATACATGTGTAAAAAGTGCAAAGGTCACTTCATTGCACGGCCTAGTAATAAGAATGCTGCATCCAAAATTACGAGACTGTGCTTTAGATTTTGACTCTGTCGTGTCTGTTTAGGAGCAAGGGCTCTTGTTTCATTGTAAAATTCACATGGCTATGCTCATGTTGGAGTCTGAAATATTGGAACCCAGGGGAAATTGGTGTAGCAGCGTCATTCTGGATTGGTGTTCCATCATTGTAAGTAGGACCCCTATTAGCATCACTTCGTCTGGCATCTTATCAACTAACAAACATACAGATTCAACAAAGATTTGGGATTTTTTCCATTCTTTCATTTTCTGCATTGTTTTGTTAAGTACTATGCATTTTTTTTTATTTTGTAAATACTAAGTACAGTACTTTATCAGAGGTAAAGGTCATAGGTAGAAAATGTCTATAAATTGCATGGAACCTAAAGCAGTGCTAACCAAAAATAGAATTTGGGTAGGTCAGCGTCCAAAAGGCTACACTGTAGGTCCACCCTTCACCTATATCCCCGAGGGAGAATGCCACGTGATTAATTATACTAATTGGGGAGCATAATAGTACAATAGACCACCTTAGCCGGTATAGATATTATAATTAATAGCAGGCCATATCAGTCTTGTTTGGATACAGGGACCCGGAGGGCCTGGAAAAGTAGAATCACCTAGGAAAAATCATTGTACCTACACTTGGACTTAGACTGACAGTGCTCTACATCTTTCCTGAGGTTACTAAATAAAGGAGGAAAATTGGCAGAGAACAGTTTAGTAAAATTGGCTGTTAACTGAACTCCCAAGTATCCCAAGGAAGTGAGTTCCATATGTGCATCCACAATGTTGAAAGGCACAGCACTAGAGTTACCCAACTTGATTTTATAGCTAGGTAAGACTTCAAAGATTGCATGGAGCTCATATAGCTGCAAGATTGCAAGTATATAGCTGCAAGAGAGAAGACAATGTGCTTGTCAGAGAGTCAATATATTGTCCACATAGGCTGGTAGTATTTATGCTCAATTCTGATAGGTAATCCTTCAATCCATGTGTTCAGCCTGATATTACGAAAAAAGGCTGTAGCAAGAGCGCAAAAAACAGAGATATAAAGGACACCCCTGACTTGTTACATTACAAAAGGGAATTCCTATGTGAAGCCACATTTCCCTAGTCATAATTCCAGACACCATGGAGCAGTAAATACCTTATTTTATTTGTTTTCTCCTTTTATTTTTTTCTGCACACCCTGTCTTGAGGGATATACCTCCTTAAGTTACCAGACGTCCATAGTTTGGCTCACCATTTGCCTGCTGTTGGAGAGCCCCATACAGTTATGTTTGATTATAGCAGGGTTACAACATAATACAGTCTATTAATCAGCAAGGGTTTATAGCTCACAACTCACATATTGGGCATGTTCAGTCCATCTGCTGATATACACATTATACACATCTCTGTTGTAGAATCCATCTAACACGGCTGAAACCCAAAGACAAGAGCTGGGGAGAGACTGGAAAATCTTGAGGTGTGTCTATCCCAGCAGGTCCATCAAAGTTACTACAGGAGTCGTTTAAGGACAATCTGTACACAGCTAGTATAAATGTCACTGCAGGCATACACCACATCCTACAACACATTGATTTGGATATATTTCCCTACTTCAATTCTCACAATACTTTCACAATAGAAGTTGTACAAGCCAAAGAAAAAAACATCCCAAACCGTCGCCAAAAATCAAACTAATCCTCAGTAAAACTACCTCATCATTACCTCATGCCTTCCTCTTCAATTGCAACTGAAATACTAGCTCCCAAAGCTAAGCACACACACTGCCTGAGAGCGTCAGCTGAATCCTTTACCCAATGAGCACAGTTCTGGATCGGCTCTGCATAGCTGCAGAGATACACCTGGTTTCTGTTACAAGTGAAGACTGGATGGGGCTAATTTTCCCACAAGACACAAGTAAGTTGTCAACCATTCTACTGCTGTTTGACAAATTACCATGGGAGAACAACATGTCACACCAGGTACCCTGATCACTACAGTGGGCTGAATTGGTTACGGTGCTGGAGTGCTCCTTTAATAGGTTCTACCTATTATTTTCTTTTTTGTGAAGAATGATTTATTTACACACCTTTCATTTAAAACCGTACTCACTTAATAACAGTTTTTATAAATTCATATTAAGTGTAATATTGTATATACATAGTAATATGTAATGTACGTAATATGTAAGTATTACTTAAAAGAGAAAAAGAAGCACAAACAAATAAACAATAACACAATTTTTTCATAGAAACACATGTTTTGACAGTTTTAGTTTATATATGATAGATCAACAAGTGAGTGTCCAAGTATGCTTAATCTGCTAGTACTGAAGCCAGTCTGAACCATGAAACAAATAATAAATAATAAGAGTTATAATGTATCAATCATGATTTAAAAATAAAAAAAAGAATACCCCAATACCCATAGTATAGTACAAACCAGTGCTATGGAGGCCCTTTGGTTGTCATGACAACACGGAATGCTTGCACATGGCCAGGCCAACTGCCATATCTCTTTTGAGCTCTTGAGCGGTAAAGAGGCTTTCTTTGTGACTGAGCGTTCACAGCGATTATTCTGTTCGTGGTGGTTTTTGTGTCATCAAAAAACCCAATATGAGAGGCGGGAAGAAGAAGAAGAAGACTTCTATCAAGAAAGAAGACGGTAAAAGAAAACAACAGCGAGAAGAGGAGCAGCAATGGACAGCAGTCCAGGACCAACGTAACTCCATTAAAGACCTTCTGGAGTTGCAGAAGAAAGATCTGCCCCCTGGAAAGAGATTGTCCCTCAGGGTGGCTCTTCAGCGTCTAAATCTACCCATTGCATATTTACTCAATGGTGTTACCATCAAAAGGGACCAATCTTCACCATATAAGATCACTGGAAAGAGATTGACCCTCAGGGTGGCTCTCCAGCGCCTAAACCTACCCATTGGTTATATAATCAATGGTGTTACCATCAAAAGGGACCAATCTTTAGGATATAAGATCACTGGAAAGAGATTGACCCTCAGAATGAACATCCAGCGCCTAAAACTACCCATTGGCGATTTAAACAATGGTGTCACAGTCACCAGGGACCGATGTTTCGGATTTAAGATCACTAAAACATCAAGTGACGAGACCAACTACGGCAAGAAGAGGAAGAGAGAAGACAAGAAGACGAGCAAGGAAGGTCTAATGAAGAAGAGATACAGAGGTAAGAAACACTGCAATGGATACATGGGTGGGTCTACATTCTAATGGTAAAAAGAAATTTGACTTTACATTCAATATTATTATTAATATTAATTAATATTAAAGCTTTTTTCTAAAAAAAGTCTTTATAATATCTTTAGCTGACATTTAAAGGGAAATTGACACGTCCCAGTGTTTGTAATATTATGTTTACTTATCCCCAATACTTAACACATATATGTTTGTGAGGTCTGAAAATTAAAGTAAACGGGTTATTATGAAAGTGAGAGTTCAAATTGAATTTCAAATTTAGGGCAGAGTAGCAAGCTGACTTCCTTAATTTTTCAAGTTCTGCTATTTTGACCTTAAATTTGAAATTCACTGTGAATTCACTTTAAATTTTTATTTTAGTAAATGACCTGTCAATGTTAATCAACAAGCTGTGCCTTTTGTAGTTGTCAGTCAGCATAACGAGTATAATGAGCAAGAAGATGAAACAGAAGTAGTAAATGAGATTTAATAAAGTGCTGGGGAAAGGTTCGGGCCATCATTTTTGGCAAATCTATTAAATCTGTAGGGGGGTTTTCATGTGGTTTTCTTTTTGCACCCTCGCCATCAATTTCGAATATAAAACTTATTTTCGGCACTAAAATAAATGTATTAATCTTTCTGTTACATTTTCCTTCAGATAAGTCTTCGGTTTCACTTTCTATTGTACTCCACTCTAAATTAAGTTTGTATCTGAAATACACATTAAAGGATCACTGTAGTGTCAGGAAAACAAGCTGTACGTAATATGTAATTATTACTTAAAAGAGAAAAAGAAGCACAAACAAATAAACAATAACACAATTTTTTCATAGAAACACATGTTTTGACAGTTTTAGTTTATATATGATAGATCAACAAGTGAGTGTCCAAGTATGCTTAATCTGCTAGTACTGAAGCCAGTCTGAACCATGAAACAAATAATAAATAATAAGAGTTATAATGTATCAATCATGATTTAAAAATAAAAAAAAGAATACCCCAATACCCATAGTATAGTACAAACCAGTGCTATGGAGGCCCTCTGGTTGTCATGACAACACGGAATGCTTGCACATGGCCAGGCCAACTGCCATTTCTCTTTTGAGCTCTTGAGCGGTAAAGAGGCTTTCTTTGTGACTGAGCGTTCACAGCGATTATTCTGTTCGTGGTGGTTTTTGTGTCATCAAAAAACCCAATATGAGAGGCGGGAAGAAGAAGAAGAAGACTTCTATCAAGAAAGAAGACGGTAAAAGAAAACAACAGCAAGAAGAGGAGCAGCAATGGACAGCAGTCCAGGACCAACGTAACTCCATTAAAGACCTTCTGGAGTTGCAGAAGAAAGATTTGCCCCCTGGAAAGAGATTGTCCCTCAGGGTGGCTCTTCAGCGTCTAAATCTACCCATTGCATATTTACTCAATGGTGTTACCATCAAAAGGGACCAATCTTCACCATATAAGATCACTGGAAAGAGATTGACCCTCAGGGTGGCTCTCCAGCGCCTAAACCTACCCATTGGTTATATAATCAATGGTGTTACCATCAAAAGGGACCAATCTTTAGGATATAAGATCACTGGAAAGAGATTGACCCTCAGAATGAACATCCAGCGCCTAAAACTACCCATTGGCGATTTAAACAATGGTGTCACAGTCACCAGGGACCGATGTTTCGGATTTAAGATCACTAAAACATCAAGTGACGAGACCAACTACGGCAAGAAGAGGAAGAGAGAAGACAAGAAGACGAGCAAGGAAGGTCTAATGAAGAAGAGATACAGAGGTAAGAAACACTGCAATGGATACATGGGTGGGTCTACATTCTAATGGTAAAAATAAATTTGACTTTACATTCAATATTATTATTAATATTAATTAATATTAAAGCTTTTTTCTAAAAAAAGTCTTTATAATATCTTTAGCTGACATTTAAAGGGAAATTGACACGTCCCAGTGTTTGTAATATTATGTTTACTTATCCCCAATACTTAACACATATATGTTTGTGAGGTCTGAAAATTAAAGTAAACGGGTTATTATGAAAGTGAGAGTTCAAATTGAATTTCAAATTTAGGCCAGAGTAGCAAGCTGACTTCCTTAATTTTTCAAGTTCTGCTATTTTGACCTTAAATTTGAAATTCACTGTGAATTCACTTTAAATTTTTATTTTAGTAAATGACCTGTCAATGTTAATCCACAAGCTGTGCCTTTTGTAGTTGTCAGTCAGCATAACGAGTATAATGAGCAAGAAGATGAAACAGAAGTAATAAATGAGATTTAATAAAGTGCTGGGGAAAGGTTCGGGCCATCATTTTTGGCAAATCTATTAAATCTGTAGGGGGGTTTTCATGTGGTTTTCTTTTTGCACCCTCGCCATCAATTTCGAATATAAAACTTATTTTCGGCACTAAAATAAATGTATTAATCTTTCTGTTACATTTTCCTTCAGATAAGTCTTCGGTTTCACTTTCTATTGTACTCCACTCTAAATTAAGTTTGTATCTGAAATACACATTAAAGGATCACTGTAGTGTCAGGAAAACAAGCTGTACGTAATATGTAATTATTACTTAAAAGAGAAAAAGAAGCACAAACAAATAAACAATAACACAATTTTTTCATAGAAACACGTTTTGACAGTTTTAGTTTATATATGATAGATCAACAAGTGAGTGTCCAAGTATGCTTAACCCCTTCCCGACCCAGGACGGTTCAGGACCGTCATCGGGATTTTCCCATTGCGGACCGATGACGGTCCTGAACCGTCCTAACGGTTTCCGTTACTTACCCGATCGCCGTCGTTCCCCCGGCGGCGATCAGCGTTGCTCCGGTTGTGGGGAGACTGCCTGCAGCCCGGACAGTCTCCCCACACTGATTTAGGACCCCTGTGGCCATGTGATCGCTTAACACAGCGATCACATGGTCACAATAGGTGTCCATGTGTCTGCCTGCAGGGGGACTGTCTGTGCTGACAGGCAGTCTCCCTGCTAGTGTAAAATCAGAAAAAAAAATAAAGTTAATGTTAATTAAAAAAATAATAATAATTATATATGTGTATATATGATATATAGACATATATTATATCTATATAATATATGTCTATATATCATATATATAATGTCATACTAAGTGTATTTTTATATTAATATGTACTTATATTAATATAAAAATACACTTATAATTAAATTACACACGTATATATATAATATATATAATAACTATATATATTGTATATATATATTATTATAAAATATAAATAATAAGTAATTTAAATTAAATAAAAAATTTTTAAAAATAATAATAAAAATTTTAAAAAAAATTATATAGCTATATGAAATTTTATTCTAACTGTATTTTAAAATTAATATATATATATTTATATCAAAATACACTTAGAATGAATTTGTATATATATCTATGTATATAAAAATAAATAAAAATAATACGAAATATACATATGTCCATATACAAAATTACATAAATAATTATATAAATATACACGTAGACTTCAAATATATAAATATGCATATATATTTAAATTCTACGTGCGTATTTATGTAATATTTTTACATAATTCAGTAATTTTATTGATTGCAATTTGAGGGACCTGCCTGCCAACCCAGGCCGAAATTCCAGAGAATTTAATTTGCTAGCACTGTATTTTACCCTGTAACGTTCTATGACACCCTAAAACCTGTACATGGGGAGTACTGTTTTACTCGGGAGACTTCGCTGAACACAAATATTAGTGATTCAAAACAGTAAAACATATCACAGCGATGATATTGTCAGTGAAAGTTACTTTTTTTGCATTTTTCACACACAAACAGCACTTTTACTGATGATATAATTGTTGTGATACGTTTTCCAGTTTTTAAACACTAATATTTGTGTTCAGCGATGTCTCCCGAGTAAAACAGTACCCCCCATGTACAGGTTTTATAGCATTTTTGAAAGTTACAAGGTCAAATATATAGGTCAAATATTTTTACATTGAAAATGGCCAGGTTGGTTACGTTGCCTTTGAGAGCGTATGGTAGCCCAGGAATGAGAATTACCCCCATGATGGCATACCATTTGCAAAAGAAGACAACCCAAGGTATTGCAAATGGGGTATGTCCAGTCTTTTTTAGTAACCACTTGGTCACAAACACTGGCCAAAATTAGCGTTCAATTTAGTTTTTTTACTTTTTTCACACACAAACAAATATGAATGCTTACTTTGGCCAGTGTTTTCGACTAAGTGGCTACTAAAAAAGACTGGACATACCCCATATTGAATACCCTGGGTTGTCTACTTTAAAAAAAATATGTACATGTGGGGTGTTATTCAGAGATTTATGACAGATAATAGTGTTACAATGTCACTATTGATAAATATTAAAAATGTATGTTTTGAAACCGCAATATCCTACTTGTACCTATAGCCCTATAACATGCAAAAAAAAGCAAAAAAGCACGTAAACACAGTGTATTTTTAAACTCAGGACAAAATTTTGAATCTATTTAGCAGTTTTTTTCATTCGCTTTTGTAAATGAGTAAAAGATTTTTCAAGTAAAAGTCAAAAAACATGTATTTTTTTCAATTTTTCATCATATTTTTTTATTTTTTTTAAATTAAAATACATGAGATTATATAAATAATGGTATGTAAAGAAAGCCCCTTTTGTCCTGAAAAAAACAATATATAATTTGTATGGGAACAGTAAATGAGAAGCGGAAAATTACAGCCAAACACAAACACCACAAAAGTGTAAAAATATGCCTGGTCGCAAATGTACAACATCGCAAAAACAGTCCAGTCCTTAAGGGGTTAATCTGCTAGTACTGAAGCCAGTCTGAACCATGAAACAAATAATAAATAATAAGAGTTATAATGTATCAATCATGATTTAAAAATAAAAAAAAGAATACCCCAATACCCATAGTATAGTACAAACCAGTGCTATGGAGGCCCTCTGGTTGTCATGACAACACGGAATGCTTGCACATGGCCAGGCCAACTGCCATTTCTCTTTTGAGCTCTTGAGCGGTAAAGA